GGTGTGAAGAGTGGAAAGACTGTTTAAGTGTGGGTATATATGTGGGTATGGGTGTGGGTGTGGGTGTGAGTGGGTGTGGGTGTGTTATAAGTTACCACGATAACCTAATAGATTATTTCGATGTTACTGACTCAAAATCTTATCAAGTGGCCTTAGTACTACTAGTCTCGGCTTAAAAGCGATTGAACAGTTGATGATCTACCCTCATCAGTCAAATCAAATCGACTTTTAGTTTAAACAACTTAATATGCACAAGACTATAGTACTCGTTACTTATTTGCTGTTTGTGCTCGTTTTTTTGGAGAATGTATTTACCATTTTTCTTCGAAAAATATACGTATATTGAGCTTCATAACAAAAAGTCTTATATTATTCTAGATTGCTTTCTAAATATAACTGAGATATATGAAGATATTTATCTTTTTTTTTATTATAGACTGAACTACATGAAGGATATTGTTTTTATTTATTGTTATAAATTTTACATGTAAAACTTCATATTTAAACTATATCTAAGATAGTCAAATTAGTTAATTGAATATATAAATTCCTAATAATAATGTTCTCGTCATTTGTTCATATGACTGTTCTAAATATCGATTATATATTTGTAAAAAAAGAATTAAGATTGAGAATGATATTGTTATTTGTTTTCCTAATTTTAACAATTGTATCATTGCTATTCGAGTATCCGAAAATAAGAGAAGATAATAAATTTATATTTCAAAATATTGTTTGCACTTAAAAATTTGTCCTTATCTATTGATTTCTACAGCACATTTGTTAGATAAAATAAAATGATTAAAAAGAGAAAATGATCGATATATAGAGGTTTCTATGATACATTATGATAAATGAGACAATTCATGTTCAATATGGTTTTTCTCTGTACAACATTTATAATTTAGAAATCGTTTGTCTTAAGTTCGGATTTATATTATTCTCTTGCTGTTTTGTTTGTTTAAGTGCGACCAGATCTACCAGAAGGATATTTTCACAAGGTCATACATCAATGATGGATGAAATTTTTATACACATCTGCATCGATCGGTTTGTAAATGGAATAATTCAGAAGAGAAAATACAAACCCTTTTTATTTAGCTCAACAGGTCACTGTTTTTGAACAAGATCTTTGTCAATTAGTAGAACAATTAAAACACTTGGTCTTTCTTGATATTTATGATGTAATTTCTTATGAAAAAGCACAAGCTTATCATTCAATGGTTCAAACTCGTTTTCCTAATTGTCGAAGTCATGCTGATGTATCAAGATTTTCTCTGTGGCTTTGATTTCTGATTCCTTATGTATCCTCACAAATAGACATTAAAGATCATTATGATATTCAACAATTCGTTTTTCTCTATTGATTTTTCTGGAATATTGAATAAACTAAAAAAGAATGGTGTTAAAAAATTCAATGGAAATATGTACTTTCCTTTATTTATTTTCAAAAGAACTTATCATGAAGTAGTGGTGGCGCCAGGGTGTGGACGTGGGGTGGGTATGGGTGGGAGTGTAGGTGTGAGTATGGCTGTACTCGTCAGTACTGCATTTGCTCAGACACATACACCCATCCCCTTTCACTTTCTGTAATACTTTTTGTGTTTCTTTTATAGAAAACATACCAAATTTAGCTCAATCTATAACAAAATGAAAAGCAAAAAAAGAAGGTTTTCTAACTTTCTTTTTCCACCTTTTTGGAAAACGGAGGCGACCTCACTTTCATCTTTTCTTTCTGAAAGTAAAAAGAAAGTGAAAGTGTCACCCCTACTCACATGTCCATACATTCTTGTTCTACCGATGTATTCAATTTTTCACATAAGATTCAGCCTTCAGTTACGGGAAAGTCATTACTTTCCATAAAAGGTCTTTCATTGATAAAGAAATCGAACTCGAAATTCCCAAGAAACTCGATTTCAAATTCGGATTTCCCCACCCGGACTTCATTTTGTCAACCTTTATAGAATATCAAGATTTTCTCAAAAAATGATTTCCTTGACCGAAAAAATAAAACTCAAAATTTTGAAAATCTGACTTCAGATTCGGATTTCCCGACCCCTGACCTGCACTAGAAAAGTACAATAAACTGCCATTCTAGAAATGGTTATTTTTCGAGTTTGGAGAAGTTTGTTGAACTATAGTGTTTTTTAACCCATAATTTATTCAGTTAAATTCCCGAAATTTGTAACCTTAACGACTATCTACAAAATTATCTGCTTCAGTGCTGAGACGATGAAGCTGTTCATGAGAAAATGCAAAAAATAACGGGTATATCCTCTTTCAGCGACCTTTTGATGTAAAAATACGTCCTTCAAACTTGTTTTAGCTCGCGTTTTTCATAGATAAAATTCAATGACTTACTGTTTTGGATTCGATTATCGTTGAGATACACGTTTCGTTTGACATGACTATATCAAAAACACAATTGACTCGACCGCCCAGGATGATGCTAAGGCGGACTCTCCCCTAAATTCTTCTTGGTCTGCTAGTTTATCACTGAACTCGTTTGCATGGTTAAGACCGATGATCAATGTGAGCAATACTGTAAAAGCACGTAAAAATATCTACTCAATGTGATGTTTTAATCTTTATTCGTATCTGTTCAATAGATCCATCGATTACTCATCCAGTATTACACACGAAAATACAAAAAAAGCACGACAGAAAAATTTCATTATCCATTAGTTTCACTAAATTTTTTTATGATTTCCATGGTTCATACTGTTATTGACCGAATGTGAGATACCTGAAAGCATACAAAATCCAATTCAATTCTAAAAGAATGGCAACATATGACCTACTTACGATTAAACTGCAACTTTCTCCTCGTGGCTCAGATTTCCATCCAATTCGTTTGAATGGTTGTTGATGACCTCACTGATTTGCTGCAACACTTTGGGGTTTGAGGTTAAGCCAGATAAAATATTACTAAGTGGTCCCGGATTGAAGGTCCAGTTCTGAAACCATCGTGACTTCGGTTGATTCAATACTCCATTAAGTATGTTCATGAGGTTGCTCACAGCCTCCACACCAGAGAGCGATGTGCTCTGGGATCCTTGATTGAACGTCCAATTTTGAAACCATCGTGACTTCGGTTGACTCAATAATCCATTTAGTATGTTCATGAGGCTACCCACTGCATCCAACCCAGAAAGCGATACGCTCTCTGATCCTTGATTGACCGTCCAATTCTGAAACCACCGATTTTTGGCATCAACAACGTTCCCTCTGTCTAATATATCCTGAATAAAACTCACGAGCCGACGTTGAAGTTCGGCCAACTCTTCGGGTGTGAGTTCATTTACGCCTCGTTTTCCAAAAATATTAATATTCCAGCCGTCGAACCAACGTTGAAGTTCAGCCAACTGTTCGGGTGTGAGTTCTATTGTGCTTCGTTTTCCAAAGATATTGATATTCCAACCGTCGAACCAACGTTGAAGTTCGGCCAACTGTTCGGGTGTAAGTTCCATTATGTTTCGTTTTCCAAAAATATTGATATTCCAGCCGTCGAACCAACGTTGGTTCGACGGTTGGA